CCAGGTGTGGCAGCACACACCTGTAATCCCAGCACCCTGAGAGGCTGAGGCAGGATTGCAAGTTCTGGCCCAGACCTGGGCAATTTAGCAAGTTAGACACTGTCTCAAAGTGAAAAATTAAAAAAAAGAAAGGGGCTGGGGACGCAGCTCAGTGCAAAGGCCCTGGGTTTAATCACTAATACTGGAACAAAAAAAGAGCCAAGCAGAAAACCGTGGATAACGGAATCATGAAAGCCAGAGCAGGGAGCAGACTTAGACATGATGGGATGCTAAGCTCCCCCTGATTAGCAAATGAATGAAGTTCAGAGAGGTGATTTACTTATCACAGACAAGCAAAGCTGGCAGCAAAATCTAAACTAAGTAAAATAGTCTTGGAGTGCTGAAAATTCCTCTAGTGAGCTGAAAAGAGAGGCTATGGCAAACACACCCAACTTTCTCTCACTTTGGGACAAGTGGGTCCCTCCACAATACTGTTTACTTTGGAAGAGGGGAGCAGTTTAGGCTTGGGAAAAGAAATTTCTGGTTGTGTCCACATCACTAAGGTGTTTTTCCCATTGTTTCTGTTTTATTATACTGTTTGCCACAGTTCCTCAAAGTTACAGATCTTTCCATTCCAAGAGTAATCAATTACTAATTAATAAGAGAACTGCACAAGTCCTGTGTTAAGCCAACCAATTCTTGAGCAAATTTCAGACTTAGGATATTTTGCATCTTTTTTTTTTTTTTTTTTTTTGGTACCAGGAATCAAACTCAGGACCTTGCGTTTGCCAAGCAGGTGCTTGTGCTACTGAGGGTGAATTTAGGTCCTGATATTTTACATCTTGATCTGAGGGTGAAAAAAATCTCAGGTTTGCATGAGCTTTTAGAGGCACAAAATGCCTTTGAAAATGGGCTGTTTGCTAATCTGTTAAGTGCCAAACATTTTGTTATTCTTCCCCCCATGAGCTTTTTTTTTTTGCTGTGATAAAATACCTGAGGTGAGTCATCTGCATGAAGAAAGGTTTGTTCCAGCTCAGGGTTTTAGAGGTTCAGTCCATGGTTACTTGGCTCTCTTGCTTTTGGGTCTGTGTTGAGAAAGAGCATCAAGGAAGAAGAAGGTTGATATGGAGAAAAACTGCTCACCTCATACAATGGGGAAGCAACAAGAGAGGGAAGGGGCTGGGGTCCTAAGAAACTCTTCAAGGACATGACCTCCATGACATACTCCTTCCATCTGGGCCCTGCCTCCTGAAGTTTTACAGCCTCTGAACATCATTGCTTTGTGAAGCAGGCCTTCAACATATGAACTTTTGAAAGACATTTAAAATCCAAACCTTAGTACATTCTCTCTCTGTCTGCTCTGGTCTGATGTGGTTTTTCTCCAGGGGCTCATGGGTTTTAGGCTTGTCCTTTGTGTAGCGGTGGTGCTTTTATGTGGTGGGCTGTAGTGGGAGGTGGTTTTCTCACCAGAGATTTTTGTCTTGGAAGAGACTAAGGTGCTTTCTTTGAGATCTCCATTAGATCTTGACTGTGAGTTGTTATAAAAGAGGGAGCTGGACCTCTGAGTCCCTGTGTGGCTTCCTGTCTCACAGGGATCTGTCTCACAGGGATCAGTCTCACAGGTGATCCCAATGCTATGTCGCCATCCCCTGTGAGGCCTTCCCTGGAGGTCTAATTGAAGGGGCTACTTGATCTTGGACCTTCACCCCCTCCAGACTGTGGGCTTCACAATCTTTTGTCTCTGAAGTTCCCAGCTTTAGGTGTTTTGTCATAGCAACAGAAATGGATAATGCATTTCTCTCTTTCCGAAATAATACAGGACTATAGTCCCTATTTAAATTCATATACCAGATAGGTGTGGATTCAAAATTTCTCAGGTTTAGAAAGATAACAGTAGCTATTTTGAATCATCCCTGGTGGAATTTGGGGTAATACTCCATAATCGACCATATTTATATTTTGCATCAAAATATATTCACATGAGTAGGATAAATGAGCTTCATGTAAGCTCATTTCAGGTCATTTTTATCACTAAAGATTATTTTAAAAATTAGATTTTAGTTTTTAGACTTAATAATTCTGAATAAAGGATATAGGCCTATGGTGGTACCATCAGCATCCTCTTGACTGATTAGAAAAGCATGTGTATTATGTTTTCTTGGTCCACGTTCAGTTTTAATTTTGTTATTTGTTGGAAGTGACTCATTACATTAAGCTCAGAGAGACATCTGCTACACTTTGTTCTGGTCATTAGTTCTCGGCATCTGTATTGCACAAGTTAGATTTCCGAGGAAGGATGGAGGAGCCATCTGCTTTTGCATTTCATCAGTCTCACACCCCCTGCACACTTCTAATGGACTTAGCAACTACTCATTTTCCATCATCCTTTCTATCCACTTGTGCAACCAGCTTTGTAGTTTCACTTTTTAAGGACACTAAAGGCCCTCTTTTTCTCTTTTTTCTTTTTTTGAGAAAGTTTTCGCTATGTAGTTCAGGCTAGCCTTGAACTTTCAGGGATCCTCCTGCATCAGCTTCCTGAATGCTGTGATTACAGGTATGCGCCACCATGCTGGCCCCAAGGCTATTAAAGCTCTCTCTTTTTTTCTTTTTGAGACAGGGTTTCATTATGCAGTTCAGACTGGCCTTGAACTCACTTTGTAGCTCAGGCTGGCCTCAAACTTGCAGTGATCCACCTGCCTCAGCCTCCCAAGTGCTAGGATTACAGGCATGCACCACCACACCGGCCTCAAGGCTATTGAAGTTCTTACACCTGAAAAAATTATATTAAACTACAAGAGACAAGAACAGGGGCTGCAAAGAAAGAATAGAGAAGAACACCAATATTAACTTTGTCCTGTACAAATCTTGATTAGGCTGGTCAATGCTGGACTAGATGCCAAGAAAAACACTATTTTCTCTTAAATCCCTCATAGCATCATAGAGACCAGCCCTCCAAAACTCAAGACTGGAAGAGTTAGCCATGATGTTCTCCAATCTCAAAGAAGAGATTGTAAAAAAACACTGTAGCTGGAAAAGTAGGTAGGAAGGCACAGAAACTCTTACGTAAGAAAGGATGTGCTACTATGAATAATGCACACTGATCTTGAATTGTAGAAAGGTGCAAACAGAGGAATCTGCCACAGACACTAAAAGGAAGAAAAAAAGTACAAGAAAGAGTCTGAGACGTGTACAGTTTTCAGACTGCAATACATTGCCTAATGCAGTGATCAAAGCTACTCACTAGTGCAGCTATTTGTGAAAGTTAAATTTCACATGCAGGGCTCCTAAAATGCCAAAAGCCATACATAATGTCTGACCCAAGCTGCCACTTCATGTAGAAAATTCTTACATGGGAGTGTAAGAAAGGCTGTTTGACTGTTCCACTGTCCTTCCTGCAGTCCAGAGACCGCTCTGTCTCCAACACGGAGCCCCCAGCGTCTCTCCCACTTCCTCCTCCTCAGAGGCACAAAAGGGTTTTGTAAAGTTTCCCTTGCTTATTTGCTGGCAGCCACAGAACCCATGCCACGTGCCTGGTGTGGAGGGATCGGGTGTGATTTCATCTGATGGGTGTCTTGGGAGCTCCTGGACATTTCGCGTAGCCATGAGAATTTCCCTAAGAGCTGTAAATGAGAAGCTGCACGATGGCAGGCTTCCCTCCAGTTCTGAGGTTGTCCCGGGTGTTGCTGCTTCTACTGAGCAACCAGAAGCAGCAGCTCCTCCTCCTCCTCAGACTCTGCCCTCCCTGGGATCCCTTGGGTGCCTCCACATCCCGCGGGGATCCCATTTCCTCGTGTCTGTGTATGGTGACCTCTCCAGGGTGGGGCCTGGCCTAGGACCCTAAAACTGTTTACAACTAATTGGGAATGCCTATAATTGTATGAGCTTTGCTAGGAAACACAACTTGGGCGTTTATCAGTGGGCCTTAGAGTCCACTGATAGAGTCCAGGGGCACGAGGGTCAATCACCACTTGGCCTTTTACCTTGTACTCTTGGGCTGTCATCTAAACCCCCCACCCCCACTTTTGCAAACTAGGGATTGAACCCAGGGCCTTCACGCTGAGCTACATCCCAGTCCTTTTAAATTTTTTTTAGGCAGGGTCTTGCTATGGGCTGGGGCTCAAATCTGTGATACTCCTGCTTCAACCTCCCAGAACTCTGGGATTACAAGGACGTGCCACCACGCCCAACACGAAGGGTGTAGGTGAGGATGAAGAGACTCCTTCTATAGCAAAGACACTACATAGTCACCATTTGTCATTGTGACCCATTCCCAACTGTCCCCTGGCCAGGCAGGGGGCAAGAAGGGCTTGTCACAGGCGAAGCGCATCCTCCTGTAGGGGGCGAGCTCTGCGCACTGTCCTCTCGCTAGACCGGACCTTTCCTGCGGTTTGGTTTGGGACTCCAAGGATTGGGGGATCTCCCATGGGTGGGATAGGCAAAAAATAGGGTAGCTCCGTCCAGGCCCAGGAGAGAGAGTACCCCATGCACCCCGCGCGTGCCCTGGCTGACCGGGGTGGGCGCCAGGCCTTGCACCTGCCAGGAGGGGCCGTTCTGTCTGCGGCGGGCCCGTGGAGGCTTGGGGGGCGCCCTCGATCCCCGACGCACCCCGAAAACGCCGACACAATGCGGCAAGGCCGCCCGGGGTGGCTGGCGGCCCGGGGCGCGCACCTCCCTTCCTGCGGGCTCCGCTTCCCGGAGGCGCGGCGGCGAGCG